GCGCTCGCTCAGCGGTACCAAATGCAGTCCTGCTAGGCGTATTAATCCTACAGGTCTTGGGAAATTATCGTGCCAATTGCCTTTGCAGAGAAGAAGCGAATGAAGCGAAACATTGAGTCGCGACGTATAGGAGAATGAAGTATCCGGATTCGTTTTGTGCATAAAGTATGCGATGGGAAAACACATATGTAATGCAATAGAAGTTCCTATTTGTTCTCTTCCCTAGACAACTCTGGAAGACGGGCAAGAGAATCGTAACTTGCCACCTTGTCGCGCGCGGCAATGGGCGCGACGTTCCTTAATTTGCACTACCTTTTCGATTGAAGCATCGATTTCATGTAGACAAGGACATGGTAGACACTTATGTCTATTTTTGGTCATACATTGTCTATTCTCGACCAATACCACCTAATCGTCGTCATTAGCGGGCGCGACGTCGCACGCGACGCCCAGGTGCGGCCAATTACGATTCTCTTGCCACATACCCTACAAATCTGGTAGTAAGCAGGCTAGCTAGGGAATGAAAGGTTAGCTAGGGAATGAAAAGGAATTTGTCGTCCTACGTAATATTCGACCTGGGATTGGGCCCCATCTGATCCATATGACAACGATACCATGAGCCACTGTTCGCCATCTTCCAGGCTTCAACGTTAACTCGTTGGTAAATAAGTTTAGATCGCGTGGGAAAAATGAACCCGAAAACAAGAAGGAACAAATTTTGGAAGGGAAGTATAGAAAGCCGGAAACTCCCTAGATGGAGTGTTGAAGGTCTGATTGAGAGCCATTGATAGGAATACGCCAGTGCAACATGCATAGTATGCATGATTGAATTACTGAATATGCTTACTAGGGCACCGGTCATTGACCAACGATGGAATATGTAAACGATAACGTCACACACCTACATTACCTATATATGACAGCATCACGGAAGTATTTATAGTGATCATGATAGAAAATTCAGCTAAAAATGTAGCGGCCAAATACCGCATTACAGATTCCTTCAGAGGGCCCCCAGTACTTAAAAGGAAAGAAGTAGACATGCTGGCATGCTTGAAAGGAAGGCCGTTGATTCTAGCAGTTAGGCTGTCATACATAAGAGGAGATTGTTAAGCTGCAACTGCCAAATATCACTGAAAATGTGAAACTCACTAACTCGCACGAAAAAATTATTATCTTGAATTTGAAAGGAC